TCGCTGAGCTGTGACGCGTGTCTGCAAAGTGACTGCCCAGTGTTTAACATTCACGTGCTGTGGGATGAACCACACACGGACCCTTGCCAGAGAGCTGAGGGGCCTGGGCCCCACACCCAGTGCCCGGGCCCTGCTCTGTCTGAATCAGGGACTGGGGCTGAGGGGCCTCCTTTACAGATGGGAAGGCAGGGCTGCTCTCTGTGGGGTTTTCCAAACCTTGAGGGCCGTGGGCTATTGAGTCCTGAGGGTGCAGAGACCAGAAGAAGAGGGATGAGCGCAGCACCAGCAGCCCTGGCCACAGAGCAGGCACCAGGCCCCTGCCATGTCTGCAGTCACATGGTCCCTGTACAACCCCTGAGGCTCACGCCCACACCACCCCACTTCTCAGAGGAGCACATAGGCACAGAGAGCCACGGCTAGGGGGCGCAGAGGCCCCGTGTGCCTGGAGGGCACAGACACTCACCTATGGAATATCTGGTCCAGGAAATACGGAACAGTACTGAAGTCGTCATATGAGCACAGCAGAGTGGACAGGTAAGCAATGGTTCTTCCTGGGAAGGCCAGGACCAGGGACTCCTCCAGCTTTGCCCCGGTGCATGGCTGCAGGCTCCGCAGGGGGCAGACCTCCGCCAGGTGCAGTGTGGACACACCTCCAAACTAGGGGGGACCAGCAGGGACAGGAGTCAGGGACCCCCAACCACAGGAGTCTGGGCTGGGAGAAGACCCCCTCATAGAGGGCATCCAGTTGCACCAGGTGACCCCTCACATCCCTGGGGGGTGGGGAATGAAAGGCCCAGAGTGACTTTGTTGGCCACATAGAGAGCAGTGTGGGAGAGTGGGGAGGGCAGAGTATCCCCACAGGGAGGCCAGCAGCTGGGAGCAGCAGTGCAGAGATGGCAGCTGGCAGTGTCCCGGCCACAGCCCTTCTGCACGGTGATGTGACCATGGCTGCTCCAGGGGGCCACCTCAGCCCCTCTCCCCAGCAAGTGCGGTCTGGGCCTCTGTCTCAGCAGGGCATTAGCTCCTGTGAGAGCGACGGTGACGCTCTGACTCTGCATCCCTGAGTGTGGTTGCATGTGCCATGTGCTCCTGAGGAGGTGATGGACGTTAGGCCAGGCCATGGTGTGGGCCCCAGCTCTGCCGTGCTGATAAGGAGAGGGGACAAGGACACAGAGAAGCACGGGAGAACACGAGAACACGGGAACGGAGATGGACATGTACAAGCAGGAGACACAGGCACATCCAGCCCCCAGCACTGTGTGCAAACTCCTGTGTGAGAGCCGCCCTCGTGTGGGCCCTGGGCTGTGACTGCCCAGCAGACCAGGCTTCCAGGGGCGCTCTCTGAGGCCATGACCTGCAGCAGGGCAGCCGGGGACGAGCACTGGAATCCCAGCTGAGCCGCAGGACAAATGTCCTTTCTCATGGAACAGGATGGAGATGGGTGGGGGCTCCAGGGCTGAGACCAAGAGACACAGTGCCAACACATGATTGCAGTAGTCTCTCTCTCTCTCTCTCTCTCTCTCTCTATCTCTCTATCTCTCTATCTCTCTATCTCTCTCTTGAGTGTAAGCCTCACCCCTGTGTGTGGGGTTTGGGTTCTCCGTCGTGGGTTGTGGGGAGATCTGGAAGCACAGCGGAGCTGACCTCTGCCCGGGATTCCCGGGCTGGGTGGGAAAACAGTGCTGTCCCACACGTGGACGCTCTTGACTTTGTATCCAGGGAACCAGTAGTAACCTGTCCCCTGAAAATCCCACCAGGACCAGACATGGGGTTGCCATAACCCAGCTGTCAGTGGGCAGCATAGGGGCGAGATCTCTTAGGAATGAGACTGGGGTCAGTCACTCAGGAGTGAAACACCAGAATGGGGCCCAGAGGTGCCTATATCCAGGCTCTGGTCCTCGGCCCAGCCTGCTCATCTTGAGTCCCTGCCTGTGTATCTCCCTAGACTCCTCCCTCAGCCCAGCCCAGCACTGTCCACGGCTGTTGGCCTGACGCACCTGTCCGTTGCCTGAGAAGATGAGTTCCTCATGGGAATCATTGCTGATCTCCAGCGTGGAGCCCTGCAAACAGAGTGCCCGGAGCCAGGCCAGAAGGCGTCAGTGTCCCACAGGAGAGTATTTCCACTCCCCAGGTCACATACGTAGGGACATCTGTGTATACCCCCAGCCAGGAGGACTCCAGGGGACACAGGAGAACTCAGGTGTAACCCCTGAGTACACAAAAGGGCCCCCAACACCCACTTTCCCATCTGCCATCCCTGGAATGGGTACGGACGACACCACAGCTGTCCTCCAATGCCTGAATCCTGGTGCTGTGCAGGAAGGACCCCTCCTCTGTTCCCTTCTTGGGAACAGGAGGACAGCCCACGCGGGGTCACCAGAGACTCCGGCCCTGGACGGGACTTTCCGGGGCTGCTAAACCCTGTTACCTGTGGCTGCCTCCTCCCCCGTGGCCACAGGCGTCCATAGTGAGAGCTCAGCCAGCGTGTTACACGCTGGAAGAGACCTTCATTCTGGGCTTTGGCTCTGCGAGAGCCTCGCCTTGAAGGGCAGCAGCAAGGGAACATAGTTCTCCCTGCAACGTTTCCTATCAAGTGAGCTGGCAATGGCTACCACTAGAATGTGGGTGCCTGGTTACCAGAGTTCCATGTTCTGTTGTGGCCCGTCACCAAGGAAGTGAGGTCACTTCCTCCAGGTCCAGTACATGGACCCTTCCAGCAGGAAGAGCTCCCAAGGCCCTCTGGGCTGCTGATTGTTCCTCTCCTGCCTGAAGCCATCCCCTTGACTGTGCACAATTCTGCAAACACAGCCCCATCCCTCAGTGCCTGGGAGACCTGGATGGGGTCAGGATCCCAGGTTGAAGGGCACTCAGTTGGAGTCTAAACCTCCTTTTCCTATCATTTCCCAAAGACAGTCCTGCTTCTTAGGAAGGCCCCTAAAATCCAAGCTAAGGTCAGTGAGGAAAGCCAAGGGCAGTGTCTACAACAGACTCGAAGCTCCATCCCTGAGTCGGGGGGGCCCATCGGCCAAGGAGATTTAGAGGATGGCCTGAAGCATGTTTCCTGGTCTGCAGTTTGAGTGTCTCTGGTTTGGACATCGGGCATTTCAGAGAACTCCACGAGGAGACCTGAGACAGCGCACATGAAAGACATCCTCCAAAACTTATGGCAAATCAGCCGTCATCTGCATGTGAGGCCTCCGAACCAGGCCACCTCACAGACAGATAATACAAGCTCAGCATCAGCAACCAGGGCCAGAGTCGAGGAACAAGTCTACTGTTGTTTTCCCCTGAAACACAAAGGCCCCCCACAGGTGCCTCCATTTTCACCAGGATGCCAACAGGAAGACACTTCCACTTGAAAGCAGGTCTAGTCTCATTCAGCTTGGCCTGATTATTTACATGAGTGCAGAGAGAATAGAGATTGATCATATACACTCTTTAAAAGTCTCATTTCTTGACATTTTAGTAAAGAATCACAAAATAAGTGAGTTAAATCTACTCCATGCTAGTGAGTCATAGCAAGGACTTGGCTCAGAGTTTGCAATACCCACAGTTTCAGGTGAAATACTTCCTTCTGCAGGTCCCTAAAACATTTGGAAATTTTGTATTCCTTCCTCATTCACCCTGAAGTCTGGAGAATCATAGAAGTCATGGACCAGGCCAGGGGTTACTTTTGTCCAAGGGGTTTTCTCTGCTTCATAGGCTAAACTCTTTTCCCTAGACCAACTTCATCGTGCTGGGTTCCATGCCCCGTCTCTAATACGATATTCTAGTCAAAGTCTTGGTAACAAAACTAATGTTTTCATTCTCACCCACAGCAGCCCTGCTATTGTACTCAGGACTAGGTACCCTCATTACAGGAGGAAGGCTCCCTCCACTGTGTATCACTGCTGTGCAAGTAACTGCTTGTCTGAGAACCACTGGGGACGTCTCCACCCAGGGCCAGAAGGGAAAACAGCATCGCCATGTTGGGACCGCTGTAACTGCCACCACAGGCACACTTTTGTCTGACAAGTCAGTGCTTCCAAAGTGACAATACCTGAACCACCCATGACACTGAATGAGTCCCACCTCAAGGGACACTGAGAAACTTCTACCCAGGAGGAAGTGAGAAGTTTGGGCATTTGGCTTCGCTTATCACTGGTGTCAAGGAGAAACAGTTGAATTCCACTATGTTGAAACAACTATTTAGAAACTGATTAAAATTTCTTCAGCTTTTCTTGTGGATAAATTAATATGATAGGCTGGAAGAAAGATTGTGGCTGACTAAGGTGCCCCAGCAAACACCTCCACGAGGACTACAGTTTGAACAGCTATCCACAGAGCAAGTTGCCGTCACACAACTATGGAAGCTAGGATAGAGACCACACAGTGCCTGGTTTAGTAGAATAGTTGGGAAAGTTGCATTGAAGAAAGCAGGAAGAAAGAGGTGCCATGTTACCCCTGCCCTGGCCCCAAGTAGCACAGTATGGACAGTCAGCTCTTGGTTGGGGGAGGGAGAGAGGAGACAGAATCCCTGTGTCAGGCCCACCGTCACCATCACCAACTTCAGACTCGGGTGGAGTCCAGCAGCCCACACCTGCAGACTGAGTGTTTGGACCTCCACAGCCAGGCCAACTCCACCACCCTTTCCCCAACCGCCAGCTGGAACTGCAGCAAGACCCTGGTTGTTGCAGAGTAGGGCAGGATCACTTCTCAGCCTTTTGGCTAAGATCAGGTGCACAGTAGGGCAGCAGAGGGAGTGCAGGACCCTGCAGTAGAGCTCAGAGCTAGAGCCCACCCCCCTGAGACCAGTACCAGGTATAGGTAAAGGCATCTACACACAGGCCAGTCCTCATTGACTAAGCCTCTGACTTGCCAGGCCTTGTGTGGAGGCCTACACTCCAGGGGGAGGGACTCCTTACAGCACGTGTCATCACCAGTCTTTGGAGGCCTGGCAAGTACCCCAAGGGCCCATCCACTGTGGGACCCAGGTGTAGCCCAGCTGGGTGCCAGTCTGGATAGTGAAGCAGAAGCCTTTATCAACCTCTTACAGTCTTTCATAAATAGCACAACTTGCATCGGCTGGCAAAGCCCAACACGGAAGGTTCTAATGGCTCCCATCTCTGCGCAAGTGCTTGTGTATGGAGTCTCGGGACTTGCCCCAGTATGAGGCGGGTAGGGTAAGGTAGGGTAGACCTGTATCAGCATGTGTCACTGTTGGCCTCACCTGGGCCTGCTGGGTATCCTCAAGACTGCACAGAGCCCCACATGTGCCCTCCTACCTCCCCTCCTACAGCCTGCGGCCATCAGCAAGGAACCACAGGACTGTGTTGTTATTCAGGCCAGGAAAACCCAGTGTGAGCAGATCCTAATGGCCCCTGTGCCCAGGCCAGTGCCGGAAGACAGAGTCTCTAGAGCAGTTTCAGTGCCAAGTGGAGCACCGAGGCTCCTGCTGACCACTCTGATACCTCATGCAGCATCACTAGTGGGGTAGGAGCAGCATCAGGCCATGAGTCCACCTCAGCAGCACAAAGACCACAGCAGAGAGGGTGGCTTTAGGTCCTAGCCTGGCTTCCCTAGTTTCAGTGGGCTCTGGGCTCAGGACAGAGATCCTACATGGGGAGTAAGTGCGCAGTGACTCCTGTTTTTGACTTAACAATTGACACTCTTGTGTATGGTGTCAGTGATCACCCTAGGCTCTTGTCATGGGTTACCAAGGCTATGGAAGCCTTTTGAGTTTGCCAACTCTGATCAAAAATTTTTAAATACAAATGTCCATTAAAAACTTTTTAACATTGTTGATTGAATTAAACCATGTGATTTTTCTCACAGGGAATGGAGCAGAGCTCCTCACGCCAGAAAATAGGATTGTGGATGCTCCTGGAGTTTTGCCTATTGGTCCTCCATGTAGTTGTTTATCTTCTTGGCACTTATGTCTTCTGTTCAGAGATCAAATGTTTCCCCACAACTCTCTGAAAAGCCCCTACCACATCCTTGTTCCTCAGGCTGTAGATAAGGGGGTTTAGCATGGGTGTGAGGACAGTGCAGAATACAGATACAGCCTGCTCCTGCTCAGGGGTGTGGGATGAACCCGGTGTCATAGACATGAAAACACACGGTCCTAAGTAAAGACTCACCACTAGAAGATTGGAGGAGCACGTAGCCAAGGCCTTGTTCCTACCTTGGGGGGATTTCATACGAAGGACACTGAGGAAGACGAGGGTGTAAGAAGACATAATGAGTCCAAAGGGGATAACTAGAAATGCAATGCCCATCACAAAGACCACCAGTTCATAGGTGGAAGTGTCTGCGCATGAGATCTTCATGATCCCTGGCATCTCACAGTAGAAATGGTGGATCTCTCTGGAGCCACACGTTGGCAGACTCATGGTGTAAGAAGTATGAGCTGTGAAAGCTAGAATTCCCCCTATCCAGGACACCACAGCCATTTGTAAACAGACTGCATGGTTCATAAATACTGCATATCTCAGGGGGTTACAGACAGCTACGTAACGGTCATAGGCCATGAAAGTCAACAAGATGCACTCAGCACCCCCAAGAGCAAAGAAGAAAAATAACTGGGTTCCACAAGCAAGACGTGTGATGTTCTTCCTTCCAGAGAAAAAGTTTATTGCCATCTTTGGAACAGTGGTGCTAATGAGGGCCTGGTCTACAACAGAAAGCTGGCTGAGGAGAAAGTACATTGGGGTATGGAGCTTCAGGTCCATCCATATCAGGAGGAGCAGGATGAGGTTCCCAGCGAATGAAGCCAGGTAAATCAAGATGATAATGTGGATGAGGACACTGACATATTTCATTTGGGGGAAGAGTCCCAAGAGAATAAAATCTGCCATTAATGTCTCATTTCCGTTCTCCATTGCGTTGACTTGTCTGATTGAGCTAACAAAAAGAAGATGAGAGAAAAGTCAAGTGGAATTGTATAAAAATTTTCCAAACATTTCTATCAGTCAGCTGTCACTAAATTAATCTGATGTAACAACAACCCCTTGAATCTGAGTGACTTTTGAAAATAGACACTAATTTTATTGCTCCCACATCTGCAGGTCAAATGGAACATTTTGTTTTAGGCTGCAAGACAAGTACATGTGTAATTCAGACATCTTTCACTCTGGGATCAGTAGGTACCTGGGGCTTGTTCTTTACTTTTTTTAAAGATTTATTTATTTATTTGAAAGAGTTACACAGAGATAGGAGAGGCAGAGATAGAGGTTCTCCATCCGCTGGTTCACTCCCCAACTGGCTGCAATGGCTGGAGCTGTGTAGATCCAAAGCCAGGGTCTCCCACATGGGTGCAGGGGCACAAGGATTTGGGCCATCTTCCACTGCTTTCCCAGGCCACAGCAGAGAGCTGGATTGGAAGAGAAGCAGCCGGGATTAGAACCAGCACCCATGTGGGATGCTGACGCTTCAGGCCAAGGCGTTAACCTGCTGCACCACAGAGCTGGTCCCTGTTCTTTACTTTTAAAGAAATTATTAATATGTATTTGAGAGGGAGGGAGGAAGGGAGAGAGATAGAGACTGAGAGACAGAGACAGAGAGAGAAAGTCATTTGCTGATTCACTTCCCAAATGCCTGCAATGGCCAGGGCTGGTACCAGGCTGGAGTCAGGAGCTATGAACTCAATCCATGTCTCCCACATGCATGGCAGGGACCAACTACATGGGCCATCAGCACTGCCTCCCATGGTCTGCACTCACCCGAAGGTAGAATCAAAGGAGCTGGAACTAGGAATTGAATCCAGTTACTCAATATGAGACTCGAGAGCTTTAACAAGCATCTTAATCACTAGGCCAAAAGCCCACCTCTGGGACTTGCTATCCTTAGGGAGGCCAGAAGAAACACAAAAAGGAGCAAGTAGAGTCATGTGATTCCTGTGATTATCTGAGCTCAGCGTGACCTGTCACTGTCATCCACATTCCAACACGGTAGGGAAGTAAACTCTATTCACAGTGAAGCATGAGACTGGGCAAATAAGGAGGGATTGAAGACAGCCAACAGGATCCTATTCACCAATCTTCTCAACGCTTATATATTTCATTCTGAATTTTCAGATATTTCATGGTTTAAATCATCAGTCCTCTACTTAATATGGTCTGTTAAGCCCCAACAATGGAGATTCATGGGTTTCTTGTGACTACAAATAAAACTACAGCCAATTGTTTGAGATCACAAGTAGCCATTGGATATGCCCCTGGCTAGAACTGCACTAGGTAAATTCATGAATTCTTTTCACATATGGACTTTTCCCTATGGGCTGATTTAAGTCTACGCATGCAGGAACCATAGATGAATGTGCAATAAAGTACAATAAAATAAATCCATGATCCCTGTCCTATGATGGAAACTCGAGAGCATGACACATCAGCCCATGATTTTACTGAGTAGCCAATGTTGTGCATTTCTTTGGAAATAGTCATAAAAAATGATAAATCATATGAGAAAAAATCATGAACAACCACTGAATCAGTTTCTATGAACTGCAAATGAGAAATTAGACTGTGCCTGTATTCCAGTTGGAGAATATCTATTGCCCCCAGCCTCCAAAATCACAGAAATAGAAATAAAAGTCTCCTGTGCCAAGCAATTTTGAGCAACAGGGACAGAAATAAGCCTGGCTTATCATTCTCATGATGACCACATCACTAATTATTTAGATGAGAGGAGGCCTTAAGAAAACACATAAACCCATAACAAACCTGGAGGGTCATGAAACACACCTGAGGGACAGAGAAGCCTTGCTCATGTCTTCCATCTGGGAGAATGGCACTTGTAAGTTCCATTATCACTTAGACTGTGAGTGGTTCCTCTCTGAGAAACCTGGGGCATTGGAAGCTTCAGCTCATTTGCACCAATGTCATTTCAGGGATATTTTCTTCCAGATAAGGGTGAATAATGCTCCACAGTAATCACTTCAGCTACAGTGCCTTTCCAGATATTGTTAATTTCAGTGAGAAAATGGATAATCTCCAACAGCAGGCACTCAACTAAGCTGCTAAGGGCCAGATACGACAGTGCTCCTATGCTCATACGTTACATCTATCCAGCTCATCTTAATGTGTACCCTGACTCCGTGTGAAGATGCCCTGCATGCTTCCTTTCCCTCACTCTCCCACTGCTCCTCCAGCCTCACAACTTTTGGTTTTCTTTATTCTGCCAATCCATAAAAACACATGAGTTTGGAACTCATGAGCCACATTATAGTGGAATATCCAGAAGAAAAAATAAAACATCTAGTGGATGCATCTGGGTACTATGAACCCTTGGGTCATCAGAACCACATGAATGAGCACCAAGATTTTCCCACAGTCCTGTGTGTGATCATGGGGCTCCCTAGAGCTGATCTGAGGGGAGATGCAGCACTTCACTGCATCAGCCACAGAGCCATGGAATAGGGGGTGCAGGGGGCTGGTCTCGGTGTCCTCCCTGGTGTCTACTCAGTGCCTGCAGGACGCCTCCCCAGCACAGCCTCAAGCTCTCTGCCCCTTGGCTTCAGGACCCACAGGAGGCCGTCATCGCCCTAGAGAGGGAATGGAGGGGTAACTCCCTCAAGGATTGCATCTGTTTTCAGATGTTGATGTGGGAAGGCCATAGACATCCTTTATGGAGGATGCTTTCAAAATTGCAAAGGAAACTAATTTTGGTCTTAAAAACTCACCGGTTTTAGAATCACAGATTTTTTTGGTGGATGAGCATGTGCAGTGACTAAATGAGGTACTGGACTCAGTATCAACACAGTCTGCATCTGGACTCTCACACAGCCTCACTGCCCCTGTAATAGGTACCCATGACCATCTATCTCTTTTCCCATCCCTTGCTTGGGAGAAATTTCATTGTCTTATTCTTGTGTTTAATCTCAGCACTAAGACTGAGTGTCCAGCACCCAAGACTATGCAGCACAGAAAGGGAAACAGAAAGGGGGGGCAAGAGGGAGTGAAGGAGCAACAAGGAGCCCCCCACCCCTGGGACCCAGGTCCTGCAGGGAATCCCAAGGGTGCCATCTCATTTGCTCACTAGGGTACGTGATAAGTGAGGTGCTACATTTGCCTTTGTACTCATCAAACCTAGAGGGTAAACTGTGGGGTAAGAATATCCCTGGTTCTCTCAGAGCATCCCCATTGGGGGCCTCCCAGCTTGGTGGGTGACCTGGTGAGCCTGCCCAGGGTGGACACCTGACCAGGTCTGCTTCATCTTCCCAGGAGACTGATCTCCATCAGACTTGGATAGTATAGCTTCAGTTCTTCCAGTTCTCTTTAACCAGATGATTCCAGCATTACACCATTTTTCACTAAAACCTAAACATCAGAGAATAACTAATTTGTACATTTAAGGTATATTTTGGGGGACTGGTGTAGTAGTAGCACAGAACGTTAAGATGTCACTTACAATGCCGGCATCCCATATCAAAGAGCTGATTCAAGTCCTGGCTGTTCCACTTCGAATTCGGTTCCCTGCTAATGTGCCTGGGAAGGCAGCTGAAGATGGCCTAAGTACTTGGGCTCCTGCTACCCATGTGGGACACCCAGATAGAGTTCCAGGTTTTTGGCTTCAGTCTGGCAGAGCCTCAACTGTTGTGGCCATTTAGGGAATGAACTAGCAGATGGAAGATCTCTCCACCTCTATGTCACTCTGCCTTTGAAATAAATAAATCTTTTCTAAAAGATATATTTCTGGCCAGCGCCACAGCTCACTAGGCTGATCCTCCGCCTTGCGGTGCCGGCACACCGGGTTCTAGTCCCAGTCAGGGTGCCCGATTCTGTCCCGGTTGCCCCCTTCCAGGCCAGCTCTCTGCTGTGGCCAGGGAGTGCAGTGGAGGATGGCCCAGGTGCTTGGGCCCTGCACCCCATGGGAGACCAGGAGAAGCACCTGGCTCCTGGCTTCTGATCAGCGTGATGCGCCGGCCGCAGCGGCCATTGGAGGGTGAACCAACAGCAAAGGAAGACCTTTCTCTCTGTCTCTCTCTCTCACTGTCCACTCTGCCTGTCAAAAAAAAAAAAAGATATATTTCTGAACAAAAAATCTGTAAGATAGGTCATACTTGAAACAGCAATGGGTAACACATACATGCTAAATAGAGGTCACAGTTTTAAGTACCTTGCACTTAGTAATTACCCTCATGGGCAGTTTGCTATGTCATATTTTACAGATAAGGGACCCCAGCAGAGAGGTTTGCTCACTTAGCCAAGATGAAATGGGTAAAAAGTACAGAACCTGGATTTGAACCTAGACAGGCTGATTCAGAGTCCATGTGCTATCTCTTACCTGTGGGTGATGACTGAGCATCTTATCCCCTCCCATCCAGACTTCTCCTCTGCCCTCCAGCTCCCACACCCCTTCACACACACAAACCTACTGACACCCACACTCAGAATCCTGCTCCCATCTCTCACCTTGATGAGAACCAAGTCAGGAACCAAGCATCTCAGATGGTGGGCAGGTGGAGAACAGTGTCACCCGGTGGCCTGTCCTCTGTCAACACCAGTGCCTGTCTCTCAGTCCAAGCCTTACCCAGGTAACTCTTCTCTGCCCTGCTTCCATGCAGACCCAGCAATCCCTTCTGGCTCTCAGTGTCTGGGATCCCCCACGTGTAGGTTTCAGGTCCTGTGGAAATGAAAGTCTCATAAATTGCTGAAAGATTCTAATTTACACACTTTGAAAGAACTGACCTGGAAGTGAGCTTCCCTTCACTCCTGGCAAGAACCAGATGACTGATCCCAACTAAACCTCAAGTTTATGAAGCTGTTCCAGCCGGTCACTATCAACCTTGGAAACTGACCTCCCCAAAGGGAATCAGGCACATTCTTCACAGAAAATCACCCCAGATGATTCAGTTAATATTTACAAAGAAAACACTGTGGGACTGATGCATCCCTTGCAGGGGGGCTATGGCAATGCAGGAAATGAGAAACAAATGTGAGCTTGTGCATCAGTAAAGGAACTGCCTGATGAAATGAAACACTGCTGTTATGTAATCACTTCTGGGGGCTCCAATCACCTTTGCCCATTAGGAATTCTACCCCCAGGCATTAATTAACTTTTCTCTGAGAGTTGCTTGAATTTCTTCCAGATTCCAGAGGAACTGCCTAACCAAGTGGGAGAGACTTGGAGGGTACAGATCAGATATGTGGGTGCTGCATCCAAGGCCACAGAGGTCAGGAATGCTCAGGCAGGGCACAGGGTGCTTCTGAGCTGCGAGACCCTGGCACAGCCTCTGATGTCTCCCTTTAAGGAGAGACACAAGGCCCCTATCCACGCACTCCACTGATGTCTTCCCAGAGAAAACATACAGACCTAGAGTGTGCAGTAGGGGGTGAGAGAGCCAGTGTAGGTGCCCACAGCAGGTGAGACTTGCAGCGTTGTGAGGTCTCCTTGCCCGGCCTCTCTCACCACTAGGGTGGTGGACTCCAGGACAGCAGCTGAGTCCTCAGAGGCAGAGGGAACCTCACTCCCAGGAACTGTGTTTGTGTCCTTTGATCTGTCTGGAGACTCCCTGAGGACCCAGTCCTGGAACTCCCTCAGCAAGGGCAGCTTTGGTGGAGGGCATTTGTCAACAACATTCAAAGGCAAATGCACCACCTGCTGTCATCAGAAACAAGGACCTGTCAGCTGGGGCAAACAACAGACAGGGCAGGCTGAGGGAGGGAGAGGCTTTCAGGAATAAGGATGTGAAACTCTCCATGGCACCCTGAGAAATCAGGCAGAAGTGTTCATATATTTTTAAAATTTATTTATTTATTTGAAAGGCAGAGTTACAGAGAGACAGAGGCAGAGAAAGAGGGAAGGGGTCTCCCATCTGCTGATTCACTCCCCAGATGGCTGCAACGGCCAGAGCTGCCCCAATCCAAAGCCAGGAGCCAGGAGCTTCTTCCAGGTCTCCCACATGGGTGCAGGGGCCCAGGACTTGGGTCATCTTCCACTGCTTTCCCAGGCCACAGCAGAGAGCTGGATTGGAAGTGGAGCAGGTGGGACTCAAACTGGCACCCATTTGGGATGTCTGCACTGTAGGAGGCAGCTTTACTCATTACTCCGCAGTGCCGCCCCCTGTGTTCATATTATTAAAATGTCTAAACTACCTAAAATGATTTACAAATTCAGTGAAATTTCTTCAAAATAAAACTCCAATACCATTTTTCATAGAAATAGGAAAAACAACCCTAAAAAATCATGTGGAATCACAAAATATCCCACCCAAACAGTCTAGGCAATCATGGGCAAAACTGGAGGCATCACATTAGCTGATTTCAACCCATATTAAAAAGCCATTGTAGGTCGGCGCCGTGGCTCATTAGGCTAATCCTCCACCTTGTGGCGCCCGCACACCGGGTTCTAGTCCTGGTCGGGGCGCTGGATTCTGTCCCGGTTGTCCCTCTTCCAGGCCAGCTCTCTGCTGTGGCCAGGGAGTGCAGTGGAGGATGGCCCAAGTCCTTGGGCCCTGCATCCCATGGGAGACCAGGATAAATACCTGGCTCCTGCCATCGGATCAGCGCGGTGCGCCGGCGGCAGTGCACTGGCCATGTCAGCCATTGGAGGGTGAACCAACAGCAAAGGAAGACCTTTCTCTCTGTCTCTCTCTCACTGTCCACTCTGCCTGTCAAAAAAAAAAATAAAAAATAAAAAAATTTAAAAAAGCCATTGTAATTAAAACAGACTCATCAACCAATGGAAGAGAATAAGGACCCAGAAATAAATCTACACACGTATGAATCATTGTCCACAAAGATGGCAAGAACACATACTGTGGAAATGACAGTCTCTTCAGTGAATTGTTTGGAGAAAACTGAATATGCAAATGTAGAAAAATTGCTAACTATATATAACACTTACATACATTTATATATATGCATATATATATATATATGAAAATCAGCCCCAGTGGATTAAAGACTTAAATGTAAGACCAAAAACTACAAAACTACCAAAGGAAAACACAGGGAAAATATACTCCATTCTTTGGATGATGATTTTTTTTAGGTTTGACCCCTAAGGGGCAGGTACTAAAAATAAAAAAAGACCAATGAGATCACATCTAACAAGCTTCAACATGATAAAGGAAACATAACAGTGAAGAATGACTTGTGGATTGGGAAAAAACATTTGTAAGCCATAACCTGATAAGGTATTAATATTCAAAATATATAAGCAACTCAAGTCAATAGCAAGAAAATAAACAACCTGATTCAAAAAAAAATGGCTACAAAACATGATAGACATTTTGAAAAGCATACAAATGGCCACAAAAATGCTCATCAGGGAAATGCGAATTAAGACCATAATGAGATATCACTTCACACAAGTTAAAATGGCTATTATCCAAAAAATGAAAGCTAACATGTGTTGGTAATGGTGAGGAGCGAAAGGAACCGTTTCACCCTGTTGGGAGAAATGTGAGTTACTAGAGCCATAATGCAAAATGGTACCATTTCCTCAAAAACACTAAAAATAGGAATTACCATATGACCAGAAAATCCTACTACCAAGTATGTATCCAAAAAATCTGAAATCAGTATGTCAGACAAGTCTGCATTTCTGTGTTAACCAAAGCACTGTTCACAATAACCAAGTTATAGAATATATCAATATTATACTATATAATAAGTGAATGGATAAAAATGTATAATATATTGAATAAAATACTATTCAGCCTTTTTAAAGATTTATTTTGAAAGTCAGATTTATAGAGAGAGAGGAAGATACAGAGAAAGGAATCTTCTATTCACTGGTTCATTCCCCAGATGGCTGTCAGGCCAAAGCCAGGAGCCTGGAGCTTCTTCCAGGTTTCCCATGTGGGTGGCAGGAGCCCAAACACATATAGGACACCAGCACCACAGCTGGCAGTTTTACTGGCTCTGCCACAACACTGGCCCCTATTCAGCTTTTAAAAAGAAAGAAATTTTATTATTTGAAACTATGCTGTTAGAATCAGAGAACATTATGCCAAATGAAATAAGCCAGACACAGATAATATGACAAATACTGCAAGTTCTCACTTAAATGTGGAATCTAAATGGTTGCTATCAGAGGCAAGAAGAATAATAGGGTTTTTCCTTTAGATATGTTGATAGTGTGGTGAACAGAGTAAATAATAATGTATTGTACAAAATCACTGGAAATAAATTTCAAATGTTCTCATCACAAAATGTGATCAGTATTTCAGGTGATATATAAGCTTATTTGCTTGATTTAATTATTCTGGTTTTTGTGGGGTTTTTTGTTTGTTTTTTGACAGGCAGAGTTAGACAGTGAGAGAGAGAGACAGAGAGAAAAGTCTTCCTTCTGTTGGTTCACCCCGCAAATGCTGCTACAGCCGGTGCACTGTGCTGATCCAAAGCCAGGAGCCAGGTGCTTCCTCCTGGTCTTCCAGGTGGGTGCAGGGCCCAAGCACTTGGGCCATCCTCCACTGATTTCCCAGGCCACAGCAGAGAGCTGGACTAGAAGAGGAGCAACCAGGACAGAACCAGCACCCCACTGGGACTAGAACCCGGAGTGCCGGTGCCGCAAGCAGAGGATTAGCCTAGTGAGCCACGGCACCAGCCTGATTTAATTATTCTACATTGTACTCATAAATTACATTATTGGGGCCTGGTACTATGGCATAGCGGGTAAAGCCACTGCCTGCAGTGCTGGCATCCCAAATGGGCGCCAGTTCGAGTCCCACCTGCTCCACTTCCAATCCAGCTCTCTGCTGTGGCCTGGGAAAGCAGTGGAAGATGACCCAAGTCCTGGGCCCCTGCACCCATGTGGGAGACCTGGAAGAAGCTCCTGGCTCCTGGCTTTGGATTGGGCAGCTCTGGCCGTTGCAGCCATCTGGGGAGTGAATCAGCAGATGGGAGACCCCTTCCCTCTTTCTCTGCCTCTGTCTCTCTGTAACTCTGCCTTTCAAATAAATAAATAAATTTTAAAAATATATGAACACTTCTGCCTGATTTCTCAGGGTGCCATGGAGAGTTTCACATCCTTATTCCTGAAAGCCTCTCCCTCCCTCAGCCTGCCCTGTCTGTTGTTTGCCCCAGCTGACAGGTCCTTGTTTCTGATGACAGCAGGTGGTGCATTTGCCTTTGAATGTTGTTGACAAATGCCCTCCACCAAAGCTGCCTCTCCTTCTCTCTCTGTGTAACTCTGACTTTCAAATAAATAAATAAATCTTTCATTTAAAAAATAAATTACAGCATCATTATGTACCCTATAAATAGACATGACTGTAATTTGCCAATTTATAATTTCAATTTTTTCTATAAAGTTACAAAACAAGAAATTTATATGTGACCAATGCAAAATCATTTTTGAAGGGTTGTTAAAAGACTCAATAGAGAGAAAAGTGACACAAAGATGCACATGTTCTCTAGGCAGCCATGAGACACACCCCTCTACTGGAGGAGGAATGAGACTCTCCCAAAGCAAAATGGTGCAACTGTGGGGGTCAAAGTATAGAATAATTGTGTGTTTTTCTTTAAAAAGATTCCCTACATGGAAGTGTGAGCATGTAGTAAGTTCTCTAATTGTACAAATACCCAGGAGAGCCTTGGAATTCCGCACCGTGGTCCCCAGGTCCCTGATGATGGTGGGTCCCAGAGGCCATCCAACAGTGTGGTTATCAGCTGTAGCTGATTACCTGAATTTCACCATCTGCACAGGGACCCTTCCTGTTGCTCAAGCCTCCCACAAGTTGTGGCTCTGGCAAGGTGACCAGGAAAGAAGTGCCAAGGTCAGGCAATACTAAGGTCACCCGTGACTTCTCCAAAGAGCACAGACTGAGAACAGCTTCACAATCTACAGGTCCACATGG